GGGAAGAACTACCTCCTCTACTTCAAAACTCTGTTAATGTTTCCTGTTTTAAGAATAATTTAATTAAGCATTTTATTTCATTTTATGTTTCTGATTAGTTCTGATTGTTTTTGTGTATTTCATTTTATATGAAGGATAGGGAGCAAATATTGTTTGGGCTTTCGCCCATTCCCTATCCGGGCAATGCATGATGTTTTTCTCCTATGTGCTTTTTGCCAAATAAATATTATTATTATTACTGTTCTGAAATTAATAATTTTGGTCAAAGAACATCAATGATAACATGATCAATTATTTATTCCCCAAGCCATAGTAAAAGACACTATAGGTCAATGATCAGGTCTTTTCAGAACTTCATGAAGATACTTGGTCAAAGAACATTAAGGGTCCCCAATGACCAACTTCCACTTTCAAAATTGGTCTAAGAGCATCAATGGTTGCCAATGATCGCCAATGATCGGCTCTCTACTTCTCAAGACCTGGTTAAGATCATTTTGTGTCTCCATAAATTAAGGATCAGGTATCCATTTCTTAAACCTTTAAAGTGCCTTGGTAAGAAAGTTATCAAGGGTCTCAAATAATCATCACTCCACTTAAGTCTCACAGTAGTTAGGTCAGAGTATCAAAAGGCCTAAATGACTACCTCTATAATCTCCGAGCCTCATAGAGACTTGGTCAAAGGTAATTCAGAAGTCTTCACAGGAAATTGGTCAAAGAGCATCAAAGCTTCCACACATCATGATGATAGCATGACAAAAGCTTACCTATGCAAGTCAACATAATCATGTGTTAGGTGTTGAATTGATAAATTCATAGTGTTAAGGCCAAATAGAAAAAATTATTGTGTTGGCCACGCCCGACTGACCCAAAATGTACAAAATTGAGGTTCGGCATTTAGTTAGTTTATTTTTTTTTTACTACAGCGAAATATATTTTTTTAATGAGCTAAAAAGGCTGGAATAGGCCTATCTTGCTAGATGGTAAGCATTGTGACAATGTTATGTGATCGTTTTGCTCTTCAATATAGACTTAAAAATGGTCTTTGTTGTATTTTTGTGTATTTTCTACTTTTTAAGCATAAACACATTATTGGTAAAAAAAAATAAATAAATAAAACAAGAAAAAAAAAATTTCCTACTGGCCTACCCATATTTTGGGTTTTCCAAAAACATGGCCAACACAAGATTTTTTTTTTTTTTTTTGGCCTAATGAAAATTCTACTTACGAATAACCACTACTTGTGCAGAAACGCTGACATCAGTTTGCGTACCAGGAACAGTTGCACGGCATACATACGTTCCCGCATCCTCAAGAACAACGTTTGTAAGATGAAGATTTTTCATACCTGTATATTTTGGATTCCGCAAAGATTTCCCATCTAAAATTCAAAATACAAGTAAAAAGATGGTGAATAATACCATGTCCTACGAGAGATTTAATGCTTAATAGAAATAAAAATTATTCCAATAATTATTTAAATATAATATGAATATCATGCTCATATTACTAATATAAATAGTGAAGTATTATTTATACCATTATGATTAACAATAATATTAATATGACTTCAGTATCTTTATCAACATCCATTAGAAATATCCCAGAAATAACAGATTCATATAAAGATAGCCAACAAATTAGTTTAATAATATACCTACTTCAAATGTATTTCTTTGATAAATGTGTGCACTCTTTTCTTTGACCTCACACAAAAAAAAATTTAATTCCAATCGAGCATTAATTTTGTGTAATGACAACGTAGGCTTGATTAATTTTTCTATTTTTTTCTTTTTTTAAAAGATAATACTTAATAATCCGGACTTACGATCGATCAATCAATTAATTATTCTTTCCATTTATTGATGTTTCAAAATTTGCTGTTCTCTTCCAAAGAACTCTTCAGAAAAAAAATGTAATAATTATTCTGTTATTAAGCCAGGAAGGAAGATGGATTAATAGTCGTAATATGCTTTCATCAAAAAGACCAAATATTATCTTACATCAGCAATATGATTTTATGGAGTACTCTCTCAGTGGAAGAAAGATCACAGGATCAGTTTTTTTCAATCACTTGAAATTTATGAAAAATTTGGAGTTTATAATTATTATGAAAGATTATTGCTGTAATAAAAAGAAAATAAGTTGACCAACTGATAACAAGATAAACATAATTGGAAATAGGAAACTTATTGCTGCAAAGCAGCCAATTCATATTCTTGACAGCAATTTGACCTCTGAAAGGTCATTGTTTGTCAAAAAACGAATGCCTAAGACGACTGAAAGCAGAGTTTCCTTCTTTCGTTCTGCCGGGTAAAATCAATTACTTTAGGCGACGTTTGTAGACTAACCTACTCGTACCAACGTCCGCATGTCGCACTAGCCTTATCCTACTCTAGGCCTAGACTGGACTAGCTAGGATGGTATAGGCCTAGCCTTGAAGGGACGAGGGATAGCTAACATTGTCTATTTAACGTCACAATAATTCATTATTAAACCTATATAGTTGTTTTTTGAATTGTACTCCATCCATACTCTATCTATTGTCGTGACGTCATGGCTCGCTGGCTCACACTTGTGATATGTCTCGCACTTGTGATCAAATAACACGCTGGCTCGCACTTTGGCAACACTCTTTGGCAGTCAACCCGCCCTTGGAAACTTGCCCCATAAAAAAATGTACACTTCCTAGACCATACAGTCTTCAAAATAAAAATTGTAACCTTTGGTAATCAACTACATTTTCCACATACATAGAAATTTTTGAAACTTTATTAAAAAAAAAACCTA